AGTTGTGTGTGTGTGTGTGGGGGGGGGGGGTTGGTTGGAATCGGCCCGTGGTGACCCCCAGTAACCTTTGCAGGGGTCATTCACCTGTCCACGTCATAATTCCTCAAAGGATTAACTTCTTTATTTCTGGAAATTCAAATCCCTGTTAAGTGGCAATATGATGTTTTTTTTTAACTCTACAACTTTTAGCGCACAATGAAACACTGGTAGGTAAAACAACATCAAAATGTGCGTTAGGGGAAAAAAGTACATTATATGTTGCAATTGGTCATGAATAGAATGCGATGATTGGAACACATGGGTCGTGTAACTATGATCCACCACGGCTGAATGTCAGGAATGTACGTAATGAACGTACATTCGGGACTTGCCCTAGATGTTTGGCGTGATAGAAGAACACAAGAACATGCCTTCTAGTCCGCAGAGAAAACGGTAAAGTTACAGGCTTTCGAAATTCATTCATCTGAGACTTTTCAGAGAAAACATGAAAGGTAACATTTGCAAAGTAAATACACAATGTTCACCTTCGTATGGTCTAAACTACTGCTCTGTTAACACAGACATACCAGCCCCTGCAACTTCATCTTGCCACTTGCTATACATGTATTATGTAATCCAACACCACAGGGAGTCTGCTACAGCGTCAGTTACCATGGTGACAGCCAGCTGGGGCAGGTCATTGACCTTTGGTATAACTCGGCCGGGGATCGAACTCACGACCTACTGAATGCAAGGCGGAAACTACCAACCTGGCCATTGCCAAAAGAAGGTGAGAAAAAAGAACTAGAATGTTAAGAATGTCCCACGTTAACGTGCCTAATTTCCCCGGTGTGTGATAAACGGCGACACGACAACTGTGTTGATGCTGTTGACACGCTGGAGAACGTCACACCGTGACAGGCTCAAGGCCACTGTCACCTGAGCCAATGGGGCTCCAGCTAGCATATACATGTAGTGTTGGGCCACGTGAGATTTTTTCTAGGGATACTGTCTTGCAGAGACCATAAATCTGGTGCGAGAGTGTGCATGAGGAAGATGAAAGGTTGAGTGGTCTATACTGGCCGGCAAGGGCAACTTGTTTGCTTCTGGGCTAGCAAAAGATATACCAGTAATTACCAACCACCTGGTAGGGCTTCAAGTTTGTTTTGCACTGTTTTGTTTTGGAGTCCATTTTAGAAGTGCTCACATTTTCGTTCCAAAGTTAGGCAAGCGAGAATTCCCCGTTTGACGTCTGATTGAAAGCAGGTTGCGCGGGAGTCGGTGGAAAACAACTCACGACAAGAGTCTGGCAGACGGAGAAGTAGGTCGAGATGTCTTCCAGGAATACACGAACGTCTTGAGACCAGCGCCGTGACACGAACCTTTTAGGCAGGGTGCACGATAGGTCATGATAGGTAAGTGATAACGACATGAACGATAAAGGAATCAAGGGCAGTGACCCAGGTAGTAGGGGAGGAGCTAAGAAACATGCTATTGGTGGAGGCGCAGTACACTATACACATTTATAGCCTGGTTACCAGACCTATTATAGCCTCCGAGTCGCTATTTGCGGAGAGGATGTAGGACTCGGGCTATAATAAGCCTGGAAAGAGGTTAGGATAGGAGTAAGAGGTGTAACGTTACCAGCCTGAAGTAGAACTAGGCCACGTGTATGGTACATGTCAGGACTAATCTACTTTCCAGTCCCTCAACATGCGGGGAAACTAGCTGGGTCGAGGTGTGAAAACAGGAAGCCTCGCTAAGTCTTAACGACTGCTGATGCTCATCAAGAATTTGGGGGGGGGGGGGGGGAAGAGAAAAAGTTCCCTTCTCAGTCTTCATTTAAGATTTTTTTTCTTGTTTGCATGGTGAAATTTAGCATTTTTTTTTACAGAATCTACCCATATCCTAAGGATCATCCAGGATCCTAAGGATCATCCTGGATACTCAGGAGGACAGGTAGTGTTGCTTGTTCCCGTCTGGACGCCAGGGTCGGCAAGAAGTTTGGAGGAACTTACCCAAGCATTACCAGCCAGTGCAGAACTAGGCCATGATGTGTGTATGGTACATGTCAGGACTAATCTACTTCCCAGTCCCTCAACATGCAGGGTACAAGCTGGGCCAAGGTGTGAAAACAGGAAGCCTTGCTCATCTACAAGAATTTTGTTCTAGCCACTTTCAGTCTTCATGTATGATTTCCTTCTAGTTTGCATTGTGAAATATAGTATTTTTACAGAATCTACCCATAAGATCCTGAGGACCATCCAGGATACTCAAAAGAGGACACGTAGTGTTACTCCTTCACTTCCGGACGCCAGGGTTGGCAAAGAGTTCGGAGTAAAGCCCAAAAGAACAAGTAAGAGTAAAGCCACACTGTGAGGTAAAGCGTTAGCCCAGTGTAGAACTAGGCCACGTGTATGGTACATGTCAGGACTAATCTACTTCCCAGTCCCTCAACATGCAGGGAACAAGCTGGGCCAAGGTGTGAAAACAGGAAGCCTCGCTAAGTCTTAACGACTTCTGACTTCAGGAGCGACCCTAGGTCCCGGGATCGGAGGAGTCTTGTCCCAGCACGTAAAGGTAAATCAAGTATTTGGAAGTAATCTTCAAGCAGATACCCATAGTAAATTCAAACTCTACTACTGGATAAATTTACGGAGATAATTTCCGGACGTTTCGAGTGGCATCCACAACTCTTCTTCAGCGTCACTACTAAACTAACACCTCACTTAGTCTTAACGACTTCTGACTTCAGGAGCGACCCTAGGTCCCGGGATCGGAGGAGTCTTGTCCCAGCACGTAAAGGTAAAGCAAGTATCTGGAAGTAATCTTAAAGCAGACGTGCGGGTTTGGCTTGTTATGCTTGAACCTTGCTTATCCTGTGAGACCCAGCTTAAGGAAGGAAGAAAAGGGGTAGAGGAAGCACAACCTTCGAAGCGAGATGCTGGGCTCAGAAACATCACCACAGCAGAACTCCAATCACTGATGGAGGACAGGGATGGGGGATCAGGGATTGTTCCCGTGATGGTATCTTTGATGTCCACGTTCAAGGTTGCTATGAATCAGGGGCTTCATGATAGAGCCTGTTTAGGGGGTTAGGAGTAAGAGGTGTAGCGTTACCAGCCCGATGTAGAACTAGGCCAGACTTCTGACTTCAGGAGCGACCTGAGGTCCTGAGATCGGAGGAGTCTTGTCCCAGCACGTAAAGGTAAGGCAAGTGTCTGGAAGTAATCTTCAAGCAGACGTGTGAGTTTGGGTTGTTATGCTTGAACCTTGCTTATCCTGTGAGACCCAGCTTAAGGAAGGAAGAAAAGGGGTAGAGGAAGCACAACCTTCGAAGCGAGATGCTGGGCTCATGCAGAAACATCACCACAGCAGAACTCCAATCACTGATGGAGGACAGGGATGGGGGATCAGGGATTGTTCCCGTGATGGTATCTTTGATGTCCACGTTCAAGGTTGCTATGAATCAGGGGCTTCATGATAGAGCCTGTTTAGGAGGTTAGGAGTAAGAGGTGTAGCGTTACCAGCCCGATGTAGAACTAGGCCAGACTTCTGACTTCAGGAGCGACCTGAGGTCCTGAGATCGGAGGAGTCTTGTCCCAGCACGTAAAGGTAAGGCAAGTGTCTGGAAGTAATCTTCAAGCAGACGTGTGAGTTTGGGTTGTATATGTATTTTCTATAGCTTTTTACGTCTATTACCATACATAAAGTTAACACTTTATCTACAAGAAAAATAAAAGAAATCCAAACGCTACCACTGGAATATACATGTACAACGATGTTGTAATTGCTACATGTGTAAATAACATGTTACATTTATACATATTGCTACAAAACAAAAGCCTTTGCTTGATCCTCTCTATTCCTAACATAATACTGTTAGTTTGCTGGATAGCTTTTCATATCCTATTGCTGTTAATATATTTTCATATTGACAGTCCAGGAAGAATAACATGATTAAGGTGTTCTTTGATCAATTTGTATGATTCTTCAGTGCTTTCAACAACACTATTGCACATGTACATGTTACACACTAGTCTCTTTTAGTTTAGAGAAGCACTTTTTTTTAAATACAGTACTAACATGGTCACCATGTGTAAATGCCATACTTGCTACTGGTTGTACAGTAATTTAAAGATTAACATGTCAGTTAAAAGAATGTTTCCTGTGATACATCAGTATCTATGTATCAAAGGTATTCTTGTCAGTACCGGTGATTATGCAAACTGGTGAACAAACTAGTTGCCACATAGGTGATAATTTCACCTGGTTCAAATTATGACCTCTGATTCCTGAATATAGTCGACTATAGACTCCCAGTATCTGGTAGTCTATAGTCACTATAAACTCTACACCATACACTCACCCCAACCACTGTTAGTACTAGTAGGTTGAGAATAAGGTGGTTGGTTACAACATGTATTTGGCTGCATATTGTTTTCCTTTACATGATGAAATAATGTATTACCGGTATCATTGAAGAGGTTCATCAGTCACGTATAGTTTAACAGTTAATAGAATATTCATCAGACAGTGACTGTTAGAAGGGTATCAAACACGTACCTTCAAATATTCAACGTCCACTGTACGCCTTGATCACGGAGTGACCTAGTCTCGCGAGAAACTAGGCGGTGACTTGTTTACTAGTAGATCTTCTGGCCTCCCCTGCCTCCTTGCGGAGTTGGGGTAAGTAGGCCTTGGGTAGCCTGGGTACCATCCTACTTGTATGCCGGGGCTCCCACACTCGCTTCCCTAACAAGTATGCGACTGTGGGAGCCCCGGCATACAAGTAGGATGGTACCCAAGCTAGGCCTTGGGCAGCTCCCAACCTTCGTTGGGATTCATGCCTCGTTAATCTTTCTATGGGCCTTATTAGTCTCTTTATCTATGATTTCTATGAACTAGTAATTCAGAACTTTCAGAAATAAACAGAACCTGAACAAACAAACAAACATAGCAGAATATACAGTACAGTTGGTGTAGTTTGTCTATATGACGTTGAAGTCAACAGTGGCAGGATGTACTAGTAATTCTGAACTTTCAGAAACAAACAAAACTTGAACGAACAAACAATATGTTATGGAATATACTGTAAACTAGAGTAGAGTTTGTCTATAACATAGTCTCACTGTGCACAGTGAAAGGATGTATTAGTAATTCTGAACTTTCAGAAATAAACAGAATGAACAAACAAACAATATGTTATGGGATATGCAAATACTCGAGTCCTGCCAAAGATTAACATCCTTGTCAGTGCCTCCTTCTCCTGTGTAGACTAAGTGTACAGTTTGTCTATAGCGTAGTCTCCCTGTCCACAGTGACAGCGCTTGATACAGAGCTGTCTGTGTGCTGTCCTAGCTGTTCACTATAGCGTAGTCTCCCTGTCCACAGTGACAGCACGTGTTACAGCACTGTCCATGTGCTGTCCGTGCTGTTCACTATAGCGTAGTCTCCCTGTCCACAGTGACAGCGCGTGGTACAGAGCTGTCCGTGTGCTGTCCATCCTCCCCACTGCCCAGCTGTTCCCTTTTCTGCAGCATCCTGATCTGAACCTTCAGCTGTACACAACGCTGACGCTCACGGTCAATTGCAAGGCTCAGGTCCGAGTTTTTGGTCTGTGGGAAAGAAAGACACGATTGTAATACTTGTCCTGTGGAGGGTTGCACATACATGTATGAGTTGGGGGTATTTCTTGTGCAACACATCACACCGCAGCAAAACACAACGAATGCGAAAGTCTCTGGAATTCTGGGGTGAAGGAAGCATTTTTGTTACCTCCAGTTCTTGGTTCTCCTTGACAAGGTCGTCTAGAATGTCTTGTAACTCTTCCTCATCCTCCTGAAGACACTGTCAAGGTCATTCCATCTATACAACAACATTTGTACTTATCACATCTACATTTAGTTCTAAAAAATGGCTTAAGGTAGAAATCGGTCAACTTGGCAATTTCATTGGTATAGCTTGGTAGGCACGCAGAAAAAAAATGGGTGCACAGCTCTAAATTTGGGTGCACTAACGTGCAGTATGTCTAGCCCTGGTCTGTATTTAAGGATACACTGCTGCTGTCGCTGCTGTTGACTGAGCTGTTACTGCTGCTGCTGCTGGAGTGCATTCCATTCTGCTGAGGGGGAGAGGCTGTCTCTCGGCTGTTCATCGCCTCCGCGAGTTCCTCCTTCAACTGATCAATCTCTGTTCTGGGGGAAATAGGAGTGGATTGGAGAAATGTAGGAGTGAAAATATAACATATAAAGTCGGTAGTCTGCTGTGGGGGCGAGGCTGTCTCTCGGCTGTTCATTGCCTCAGCTAACTCCTCCTTCAACTGGTCTATCTCTGTCCTGTGGCAAAAGATTGCACAAGCTTTAAAAAAACAAGCGATGCCGAATACACCATATTGTATTTCATTTATGTCATACCCACCCAAGAAAACAGACATTTCAATGCAAAATGGGCCAAAATTTTGTGTCCCTAAACCCTAAAATGCAACAACATCAATTCCAATGTCCTAATTCAGTATTGGAATTTTCAAAAGTGGTGCACACGGTTAGGGCGAAACGCGTTCGAATCATTCTAGTGGAGCTATGGAAGCCCGGGCCATACTGCAAAGTTATTGACACCATTATTGAACGTTATTGAAGCCAAGGTATGATATAAAGGCTTAAAACGGTTAAAAGTTTCTAGCAAACAAAAAAACAACAGACCTCTCCTTCTCTATCCTGGACTGCAGGTTGCCCTGTAGAGCCAGCAGCTCCTCCTGCTCTGCAATCAGGGCTGCCTCCTCCTCCAGGAGCAGCTCTAGTTCTTCTGCAAAACAAGCAACAACAATTTTGTCTTCTCACCACTTTTGATGCGTTCCTTGTGTCATCACATTTCCGACTTTGAGTCAACGATTACATCATACATCTGACGAATGTTGACGAGAATTTATGGTGAGTTTCCCTCTTGTGTTAGAACAAAGCTTGAACTCTATAACTAAGCAACAACGCGTTAAGCTTAGTACTATCCTGGTTAGTTTATGTCCACTGCAATAGTCACTACCCATTATCATTGGAGCGTAAACTAACCAGGATGGTACCAAGGCTAACACATTACAGTTACAGTAGCAATATTCTTTGCCATAACATGTGCTGTAAAGATTTGGCTTATGAATTTGATTACAAATATGCATAGGTGTCCAGTGTTTTGTGTTGTTCTCACCATCATCTTCCTCCTCCTCTTCCTCCATCCTCCCTTCTGCCTCCTCCTCCTGCTGGACCACTAATGTCTCCACACCTGCAGCTTCCTCCTTCTCAACTTGGTCTTCAGTCTCCTTCTTAGTCTCAACCTCCTGGTCAGAAGGTTTTGCAACTTTCTTGTCTTCAACTTCTTCTTTTGTCTCTTTTTCTTTCTGTTTCTCTGCATCAACCGATTTCTTGTCAGCCAGTTTCTTGTCAGCTGGTTTCTTTTCAGCTCCTTTCTTTTCTCCTGATTTCTTTTCTGCTAGTTTCTTTTCTCCTGGTTTTTCCTCTGCTGTCTTCTCTGTGGCAGTGGGTTTGGTCTCTGGTTCTTTAGTCTCTGTAACCTTTGCTTTGGTCTCTGGCTGTCTGGTTTCTTTCTCTTTTTGCTTGGTGCTGGTTTTGGCAGTGGCGTATGTAGTTTTGGCCCGCTTCAGCTGTATTGGGGCACACATTAAGAGTCAGTTTCAAACAAATTAAAATGTCTGGTACTGGCTATTGACCTTATTTGTTTGAAGAAGAAGAGGAAGAAACTGAGCAAAAACATAAAAATTGTGTGATGATCCTCTGCACCTCCCAGATTCTCTCCTCCTTCTTTAAGTAACTACTTTAGCCTGTAGAAACTGCCTGAGATAGTCTAAGACGTGAGAAACGTGCCTAAGATGCTTACCTGTCTCTTGAGCTGTGTGATGATCCTCTGCACCTCTAGGTAAGTTTTTAGGAGTTGCTAAAGACTTTAGGAACTGATCTCCAATGTGAGAATCAAGTTTAAGACTTTCACCTGTCTCTTGAGCTGTGTGATGATCCTCTGCACCTCCCACAGTCTCTCCTCTTTCTCGGGGTCCACCAGGAGAAGCGTTAAGACTTTAGAAACTGATAGTTTACGACTCTGACCTGTCTCTTGAGCTGTGTGATGATCCTCTGCACCTCCCAGATTCTCTCCTCCTTCTTTAAGTAACTACTTTAGCCTGTAGAAACTGCCTGAGATAGTTTAAGAAGTAAGAAACATGCCTAAGATGCTCACCTGTCTCTTGAGCTGTGTGATGATCCTCTGCACCTTTACTTTAGACAACTTTAAGAGAGATGTGAGAAGATAGTTTAAGCTTAAGCCTCTGACCTGTCTCTTGAGCTGTGTGATGATTCTCTGCACCTCAAAGCAATTTTAAGAAAGTGCCTGAGATCTGAGAAGATAGTCTAAGACATAACAAACATGTTTAAGACCCTGACCTGTCTCTTGAGCTGTGTGATGATCCTCTGCACCTCCCAGAGTCTCTCTTCCTTCTCCGGGTCCTCCACCCCGGCGCCCAGCTCAGAGTGCAGCTGCTCCAACAGCGCCTCCTGTCGCTGCAGTTCCTCCTCAATAGAGCTGGTCAGGGCAGACGTCACCATTAGGAGCAGGCACAGAAGGCCCATTTTGGGTACCCATTAGTGAGAGCATCCAAACCAACTGTAAACAGCCTTTTTCTTGAGAGTGTTGTTAAAAGATACACTTCAAGGCCCATTTTATATCACAATGTTCAAGAAAAAAAAACATCAAGAAAAGTGGAAAACCCAAAGAAAGGTACTTATGGTCAAAACATTTTTCAAGGTACCTCAATGCAAAGAAAAGACAAGAAATAAAGTCTTGCACCTTTTTACCCATGATGACCCTTCTGTAGTACTATAGGAAGGAAGCTGCCAGTAAGATCTTGTAAGTTGTATATACACATCTTGTGTTAGAAGTGTTAACTGTCAGAGTGAGATGATGACAAATGTACTAATGTGTTAGCAGAGTTTAGGGAGTGATGTGACAAGGTTAGAGTTGGTATATGAGTGTGCTAGTTAGTTAGTTAGTGAGTTTCGGGAGGTGGTGTGTTAGTTAGTGAGTTTCGGGAGGTGGTGTGAGTTAGATACTACCTTGGACTGTCGGGAATCTCATCCAAGTTCATGGTGGAGCTCTCCCATCTGAGGGGACGGCCCACCCTGCAAGCACGTGCACAGGTTAGCATGCATGCACACACATACATGTACATGTACACACATGCACACATGAACACTAAACAAAGGTTAACACACATGCACTACACACATGCATACTACACACGTCCACAGGTTAGTACACGTGCATGCATGTTAATACACATGCTCACTACACACACACATACACACTACACACATGCACTACACATGTACATGCACACATGTACATTCACATAGATTAGCACACATGCACACACACACATATGCACACTACACGCATGCACTACATACATGCGCACTGGGTAGCACACATGCACACTACACACATGCTTCCTACATGCATAAACAATCACATGCATGCACACACAATCAATGACAATGTTCTAGACACATACATGTACATACTACACACACACATGCAAACTCCACATACATGTACGCATGCATGATACACATACACATACACTACAAAAGTGCTTATTACACAAACATGCACACATTTGGTTAGCCCAGAAAAACATACAGATTGACATAAAAATAAATAAAGTTATGTACAACAAAAACAAACTATAACACATATAAGTGATACCATACAACAAACAAAAGACACATACACTATTGTTACCTGCTCACAAGTTGTGTACTGCCTGACACATCTACAGTAGTCTGTCTGAATTGTGCTTCAATGTGCTCAGAAATGTTTGCATAAGGGTGTTATACATACAATGTACACTGGTCTGGTGCCATTCTTAACATTGAGTGGATGTTAAGGGGTGTTTGGGTATGGTTTATGTTTGGTGTAAGTTGTGGCAGTTACATGTACAAACATGATGACATTAAAAACTGGGAAAAGAAAAAAAAAACTACAGCTATTTTGCAACCCCAGAGTCCCTGTCCCTCATTTACCTGCTTTCCAAAAACAACGAAGCTGGCAAAAACATTGTCCAGTTTGTGACAGTAACTACATTTAAATAGTCTCCATCAGGCTAACACCACGGGTTCCAAAAATTTAGCCAATAGGGAGAATAATTGACTAGGAGAGTTTAGCCAGCATAAAGTTTGTTTGCCCGCAAAACTAACCCTCTCGCAGACTGACTCTCCTGGCCAACTATTTCCCTATATGTTTTTTACCGAATTCTAGGATCCGTACCACTGTAAGACGACCTGGTGGAGAAAGAAAGAAAGAAAGGTCTCCCGTGCCCTTATGCAGAGCCTAGGGTGGTGCCCATATCCATTTCTGTAGCCCTTGGGCGACACACAGTTGTGCAATGCACTACAGCAGGGGGCTGGTCCGCTGGTAGTGCTGTGTGTTTGACCTTCCCACACTCTTTCTCATATGTGCTGAGTGCTAAGCAGAGAATGAAGTGTGTACCATTTTTAAAAGTATTTGGTATGACCCGGCCGGGGTTTGAACTCATGACCTGCCGGTTACAAAGCGAGCATGCTACCAATTGAGATATTGCACTGGTATAGCCTGGTGGAGGCTAACATTTATGAGCAAACAGAACAGAGTAGTCACGTACTTCCTGATCCCGTCGTCTCCGAACAGCTGATCGTGGTGACAGAAGAAAGCGTTCAGGACGCGGTGGCTGATGTTCAGCGTGGGGCTCAGGACGATGGAGATGTTCTGTAGATTCATCTTCGTCTCTGCTTCCTAACACAGGAAAACAAGTAAGATCAAGGAGGTTTTATTATTGAATGAATGAATGAATGAAAGACCTTTATTGTACATTTGTGCTCTAACAAGCTAAGTACAGGTCATGAATAGACAAGAAAAAGGATACAGCAATTACACTTAAACTATACATACTAATGTGGTCTACTATGTACATGTTCGACTTCTTCTTGCTTCTTGACGCAGTTATAGATGTACGAGCATATTATTATGTCTACTTTTGCAGAAGAAAAACATATTGTTTTTGCTCAGTTTCTTCTTCTTCTCCAAACACATAGGGTCAATGATCTGAGCCAGACGTCTGTCACCATGGTAACTGGTGCTGTAGCAGACACCCTGTGGTGTTGGGTTACATTATGTAGCAGTACAGAGCTGGAGGTGCTTATCAGGATGTACATGTACAAATGTACTACTGTGTGAATATGAAGTCTACAGCTTTTAGATACTGACAAACACAAGCAAACACAGAGAAAAATATGCACAAAATAAAACCTCTCTACCTAAAGGTAACATGAAAGCAATAACTACACAGTAAAACTGTAATCTTACCCTGTGTGATGGTCCAAATACTACTGTCTGGGAGTTGGTGATTCACTACAAATCACCTGGACGGAGGCCACACGGTGGAGTTTACATCATCACCCCTTATACATGCGCGAGCCTAATACTAGTACTAGGAAAAGCATGATATCATGCTTCACCCCTGACGAGAATGACTCAACAACAACTTACCCTGGCCTGTCCATGATGTGGACCATGTGCTGTATGAGCCAGTAACTACACAGTAACTCACCCTGTCCATGATGTGCACCATGTGCTGGATGAGCCAGGTGATGAGCAGGCGGTTACAGGTGGGCAGCTGGTACAGCATCTGGATCAGGGCGGCCACACGGTCTTCCTCACCTGCAAGGGCTGCAACAGGGGAAGACAGCAGTGTTAGGCCTCATTCCAACTAGGACAAAATTGTCTAGATGGAAGCAAATTGACTAGCCTGGAATCCATCCGTGAACGCTTTACCTTGTGAAGGCAGAGCGGAGGAACGGAGCGGAGATAAAGCGTTCACGGATGGATTCCAGGATACAAATTGACATGGTTTGATCCAGCTTCGATCTTGGTTCAAGCCGGATCAGAGCCGGATCGAGCCAGATCAAAGCTGGATCAAAGCACTGCACTGAGTTCTTGAGTTCTGTGGAACTTCGGTAGCCTAGATGCCGTCTTCCATAGTTACCGCCGGCTCCCTCTTGTCGCTGACAACCATTGGACTATGGAGAATTGCACCCAGGTTTCAGCCTTGGAGGAGGTGATTTTTTTTCGTTGAGAACAAGTGAAAATCAATGCGGGCACGGATGCCATCCATAAAATTAAACAAGTGTGGTTTAAATTAATAGAGCGAAATAAAAATGAATGTTTTAAACCTGAAGCATCCTCGAACCCCGGCAGTAGCTCCATGGTGAGTACCGGGTCAGGTAACTCCCGCAGGTAGGTCTTCAGCAGGCCAGCCACCGTGTGGGGGTCATGGTCCTGTAGGTCAACGACCTCACCGTGGTCATACGCAGCACGCAGGGCATCCACCTGCGACTTCACAGGGGAGATACGGTAGATACCTTCTGTACACAGACCTGGGAAGGAGGAACACATACAGGTGAGAACATACAGGTGAGAAACACCTGGAACAAATACATCACAATGAATATATAATTATACAGTAGTCTACATTTGTATACACAAAAATACAGTTATTCAAGCAACTGGATATGATTTTCCAAAACCATATCCAGTTGCTTGAGTTACTATTTTTTGGCGTATCTTATTACCTGGATGTCTAACCTCTACCGACGTATACAGTATTCTAACTTGATAGACTAGTGTAGACGGTTTTATTCTAGTACCTCTTTCCTCTATGAAGTCCAGACAGTCTCTGAAGATGGCCGGTAATTCAATCCCATCAATCAGCTTGGACCGTTCCACTGCCTCGTGCAGGGGGATCCCAAAGATGGGCTGGGGGGGCTCTGGAAGAACAAACAATGCAACCAATGAGGACAGGGAGGAAAACCTCTGTATGCACTCCCTAAAACTACATAAGCCTATGTACAAACCTTCTCATCTGTTTTGCAATATATATTTTTTTAAATAATGATGGTGATGATAATGCAGCTTAGAGTTGTTGAAAAAGCCTCCAGCTGCAATCAGTCTTTCATCATTCCACTGTGACCCAACACCACCTGATGTCTGCTACAGCACCAGTTACCAAGAAGAGGAAGGAACAGAGCAAAAACAATATGTTTTCCTTCTGCAGAGGGAAATAAACAGTATGATTTCCTTCTGGAAAAAAGAAACATGGAAAAGAAACCTAAGCTCCCCCCACCTCTTGCAGGAGAGCTGAGTTCGTCAGCAGACAGAGCCTGGGCCTGAGACGGGGACTTGGCCTCCTTAGCTTCTCTCTTTCTCCCTGACTTCTCCTTAAAGCTGTAGGACCTCAGGATGTCTGGGGTCAGGTCTCGCGGCAGGCTGGATGACTTCTTCTTTTCCTTCTCCTGCAGGTCAGACAAAAGGAAAAAAATTGCCTTTTGGGGTGCAAGATAGCGGCTTTTGGGGGATATAGACAGGGTGTAAGAAATTAGCATTAGCTACTGTAGCATCATATGCCTACAAAAACCTAGCAAAAACTGGCAATAGATTTAAGATGTACATAATTGTATATAATGAAAAATTGTATTTGATACCTTATGATGAGACTTTTCTTCCTTTTTCTCCTTCTCCTTTTCCTTGGCCTTTTCCTTCTCCTTGTCTTTGTCCTTGTCTCGCTCCTTGTCCTTGAACTTCCTTTTGGAGTTCTGTGAGAAACGGTTGCGGAACAAGCCCTTTCTCTTCCCCTTACTGGGGCTCCTGGGGGTTGACAGCAAGAGTTAAGTTTTCAACCTTATACTTATAACGTAGTAACTTAGATAGTTTCAACCTTATACTGTAGTATCATGTAACCGGCATAGTGATCCAGGTACGGGTCACCAAATTAGTAAGGATTCTGTTAATGGATTGTATGTATTCCGTAAATATGTATGTTTCTGTATAATGGATCATACGTATTTCGTAAAATTTGTACGAATTCTGTAAAATTCCTATGAATTCTTTGGCACTCTTGATTTAGTAACACTCTGAAGTTCTGTCTTGACTAGAAACTTAAGTTTACATGTAAGACGATTAGTACCAAGTTGTGCAGGCAATGACAATTGCTTTTAAGGCCTGGCTGGCAGCAGCCCTGCCATAGCCACATACCACCCCCTCCCTCAGTAATACCACATTTAGGGGTAGTCTGAGGGTACCTAAGAGGAAGAAGAAAAAGAAGACTTACTCCTCATCTGAGTCCTCCTCCTCGAAGGCGACGTACCCCGGGGCCTTGTCCTTCTTGTGTTTCTCCTTCTTCTTCAGACTCTCCTTCTCCTCCTCCTCATCTAGAAATCAGAGAAGTCACAGGTCAAACAGAGAGGTCACAGGCCAAGCAGAGGGGTCAGGGGTCAATCAGAGGAGGCAGGGTCAATCAGAGGGGTCAGAGGTCAATCAGAGAGGTTAGAGGTCAATCAGAGGGGTGCCATTGTTGGGGTGACGCGGGTTGAAGGGCATGCGCACAAGTTGCTGGGTGAGAGACCTCAAAATTAAAATGAGCTAAAGAACTTTAAAACCCTTTCTTGGGTGGGATTTTTGTTGAATTCTTGGCATTTTTGTGGTGGGTTGTACAGTGTAGGGTTTTGAGTGAATGTTTTTGCCAAAAAAATGAAGTTTTTCCATGAAATTGCCTTGTTATGGGCTTGTCTGTTGCCATACACCCCTCCTGCCTCCTGCCTTGGTATCGACCTAGAATATGGGGTCAAAGTGCACGAATTCTTATAAACAAGGCTGTACCTCGAGAATAGCCGACCACTTTTTTCCGAAACTTGTTGTAGGTACATATTATTAAATTGGCCAACACGTGAAGGTGAGTTTGTGTGACAAAAACTTCGTAAACTAGAGATATGTCATATATAATGATGCCCATTTTCATGTCTGATTTAGCATATGTTTCAATGGAGAACCCTTTCAGTGATGTCTCCCCTGTTATGCTCAAATCACTAGTGTTAAAAACCTTAGAAGATTGACATAACCAAGTAAAACCCTGCACCTTGACTTGAGACATCGTCTAACAAGTCTAATGTTTCAAATTCAAGCCATACCGGAAATCTCATAGCCTAACAGGTTGAAGGAACCCAAGTCTTATCCCAACAGAGGGGTGTTACACAGTAATTTTTCAAGATCAAGATCAAGAATATTATAGATATATGCAAGGGCAACAACAACAACATATGTCTAGAGGTGTTGGTTAGGCAAACAAATACATGGTTTTATGCATGTTAAGTTATTATAATATTTTCAGTTCATCATTTATTTCAGGAAATGAAAAATTCTCACCATGATCAGGCTCCATGTCCTCCTCTGTAAAGTCGTTCTC